TAATTTTCACATTTTTGTTTGCCTACGAGCTTTTCTTGACTTGACTTTTGAGGAATATTTTTGGGAGAAAAATAATTTATGGCTGTCAGTTATTTTCTAGCACCTGTTGTGTGTTATCCTTTTATTGTTTTCCAGCTTTAATTGTTCCTCATGAGAACCTCATTTATTATTTTCCTTTGGAAGTTATTTTTTTAAATTTTTAATTAGAACTTCTATTTTTAGGTAATTGAAGATTCATAGGTAGTTGTAAGAAATAATACTGGAGACCTCGTGTACTTTTATCTAGTTTCTCTCATGGGTAGCATCTTGCAAAACAATGTCACAACCAGGATATTGACAATAATAAGAACAACATACAGAACATCTCCATCACCATAAGGATCTCTCCTGCTGCCATTTTACAGCCACACCCACTCTTCTTCATCTTTACCCTCTCACCTAACCTCCAGAAACTAATAACTTGTTCTCTATTTCTATAATTTTGTTACGGAAAATATGCTATTTCAATGAAATTATGCTGTATGGAAACTTTGGACATTGACTCTTTTATTCACTCAGAACAATTTTCTAGACATTCATCCAGGTTATTGCATGTATTAATTGCCTATTCCTTTTCATTGCTCAGCTGTATTATTATTATTATTGTATTTTAAGTTCTGGGGTACATGTGCAGAACATGCAGGTTTGTTACATCATTATACGTGTGTCATGGTGGTTTGCTGCATCCATCACCCCATCGTCTACATTAGGTATTTCTCCTAATGTTATCCCTCCTATCCCCCACCCCCTGTTATCCCTCTCCTAACCCCCCTCCCCTCTGACAGGCCCAATGTGTGATGTTCACCTCCCTGTGTCCTCATTGTTCAACACCCACTTTTGAGTTAGAACATGCAGAGTTTGGTTTCCTGTTCTTGTGTCAGTTTGCTGAGAATGATGGTTTCCAGCTTATCCATGTCCCTGCAAAGGACATGAACTCATCCTTTTTTATGGCTGCATAGTATTCACAAAGTGGCACATTTTCTTTATTCAGTCTAGCATTGATGGGTATTTGGGTTGTTTCCAAGTCTTTGCTATTGTGAACAGTGCCACAATAAACATATGTGTGCATGTGTCTTTATAACAGAATGATTTATAATCCTTTGAATATATACCAGTAATGGGATTGCTGGGTCAAATGGTATTTCTATTTCTAGATCCTTGAAGAATTGTCGCACTGTCTTCCAGAATGGTTGAACTAATTTACACTCCCACCAACACTGTAAAACTATATTTCACGCTATGAATTTACCACAGTTTGCTTAAACATTCACCTAATGAAGGGTGTCTGTGCTGGTTACAGTCTGGGTTTATTATAAATAAAACTGCTATAAATAATTCTGTACTTTTTGTTGTATAAACATAAAATTTCATATCTCTGGGGGAAATGCCCAAGAATGCAGTTCTGAATGTTATGGTAGTTGCACATCTATTTTATTTACGAAACTGTCAACATATATTCCCCAGAAGCAGTGCCATTTTACACTCTCACCAAAGATGAAGAAATGACATAATTTCTCCATAATTTACCACAAAGTTTAGCCCTTATGAGATGCCTGCAGTGATATCACATTGTAGTTTTAATTTCTATATGCCCAATGTGAATAGAAATAAATTTTAAAAAGATGTGGAATATCTTTTCATATACTGATTGGCTCTTCCTAAGTCTTTGTCAGCAAATGTCTGTTCTTGTATTTTGCCATTTCCAAATTGGATTCTATCTTCTGTGTTTATTGTTGAGTTCTGAAAACTTTTAATAAAAGCAAACTATAGGACTATAAGTAGAAACTCTGTAGTTTGTCTTTTTATCATCTTAACAGGCTTTTCCAAAGAGCAAAACTTATATTTTGATGAAATTCAATTGATCACTGTTTCCTTTTACAGGTTATGCTTTTTGGTGTCAAGTCAAAGAATGCTTTGCCTCAGCTTAGGTCCTATGATTTTGATTGTGGTATCCTATGTTTTTTCACCTTTTGCTTTTAATTTGCTAAAGTTTTACTTTAATGCACTGAGTGGTTTTTTTTCTCCTACGTTTCTTGAGTGTTTGGCTTGATATCTTCATCAGTTTGGAATAACTTTCAGCTATAATCATCCTAAATATGATTTCAGTCCCATTCTCTTTCTCATATGTCTCTGAGAATTGAATAACTTGCATGCCCCATATGTCTCTGATGCTCTTATTTATATTTTCTTTTTCTTTTCATGCTTCAACATGGGTTTTTTATTCTGACCTACTTTCCGGTTCCCTTTATTTTTCTTCCACTGTGTCTAAGCTGCTGTTATTACCAATAATTCAGATACTGCATTTTCTTAAATTTAAATTTTCCATCAGAATATTTAACACTTTTCTCATCAATTATGCTTTTATAATGTATTTCAAGAAAATGATGTTAGGATGTATGCATCCATTTTTGATAGAATTGAAATAAAATTTGCCAAATATTTTATAATATATTTATACTGTAAAATTATTTACTGGTTTTGAAATCATTGTATAGAAAACTATTTATGCATATAAAATAATAATCTTACTATATTAAGTGAATAAAACATATAAACTGTACAATGCTTTCAAATATAACTTTGTCCTCATTCATATTTCTAATTTTCTCATGGGAAATGTTAAATTAAATAAGCAGGAGGTCATATTATCCTGAGGCTATCACTGTAGCTTTAGTTTCTGTGTAACAAAATGCTACCTAACTTTGTTTGTTTGATGGTTAATATTGAGTGTCATCTTGATTGGATTGAATGATACAGAGTATTGTTCCTGGGTATGTCTGTGAGGGTGTTGCCAAAGGAGATTAACATTTGAGTCAATGGACTGGGAGAAGCAGACCCATCCTCAATTTGGGTGGTCACAATCTAATCAGCTGCCACAGAGGCTAGAACAAAGCAGAAAGAAGAGGGAAGAGCAGACTTGCTGAGTCTTGTGGCCTTCATCTTTCTCCCATGCTGGATGCTTCTTGCCCTTGAACATCAGACTCCATGCTCTTCAGCTTTTGGGTCCTTGGACCTACACCACTAGTTTTCCAGGGTATCTAGGTCCTTTGGCCACAGATTGAAAGCTGCACTGTTGGACTCCCTACTTTTGAGGTATAGGTACTAGGAGTGGCTTCCTTGTTACTCCACTTGTATACAGCCTACTGTGGGATTTCACCTTGTGATGGTGTGAGTCAATACTCTTTAATAAAATCCCCTTCAAATATACATCTATTCTATTAGCTCTGTACCTCTAGAAAACTCTGATGAAACATTATGTTAACTAAAAGAAACCAAACTTAGGAATATAATTTTAGTAACAAATAGCTGGGTTTCAGCCAATGACAAGACAGCCAACTGGTCATTTGATGTCCAAATAAAGCAAACCTCTAGCTGCAGCCAATCAAGTAATTTTGCTACTTGGCTTCTGTGTTCAGCCTATGAAAGTCTGTAGCTCACACTGCTGGATGCAACTCTAAACTTTTTCTAATTCTGAGTGCAGCCCAACTTGACTCATTCTTTGCTTAAATAAACTTTGTAAAATTTATTATGTCTAGAGTATTTTATTTTAACAACAGTGAACATGACAAAAGCTTTATGTTAAAAAGCCAGCCATTCAGTTTTATATACATATATTTTTCCCCTGACAGTATTAAAAATAAATAGGTAATGATTACTTTAGCAAGCCTCTATTAATAATCCCTTATACACAAATACCCAAAGGTATGTTTTTCAGGAGTATAATTTCAGCAGCAGTTTCAAAATGACTTGGGATGATTTTGGAAGGTGTACTCATTCTGATTAGCTAAAGACAATAACAGAGTACTTTTTGACTCAAAAAGGGTATATTTTGACAGATACCCTTCTCACTTCTGGATTCATTCACAGCAGATAGGTTTTAAGGTGCTGCTCCTGGAATGCACACTTTCCCATAATCCTTTTCGCTTCAGTGTGAGTATGACCCGTGTCTTGCCATATGACCAGAATACAGCAAATGTGTTGATGCGTCACTCGCTTGATTACATTTTATGAGACTGTTTTGCCTGCAGGCTTGCTTCTCTTATTTACTTGATGAAATAAGTGGACACATTGAGGAGGCCTAAATGGCAAGCAACTACTGGTGGCATCTCAGAGACATGGGCAGCCTTGAGGAGTGAAGGAAAGTCTTGACTCTCTCGGGTCTATATCTGAAAGAAATTGAATGCTGCCAACAGTCCTGTGAGCTTAGACGAGATCCCCAAGGGAGAAGACAGCCCTAGCAGACACTTGACTGTAGTCTTGCAAGACCCCTGCAAAGACCCAACTAAGCCATGCACAAATTTTTGACCTATAGAAACTGTGAGATAATAAATACATTATGTTTGAACTTGCATATGTTATGTAATATCTTATACAGCAGAAAAACAAATACACTTCCCTGCTCAGTATCCTACTTGCTCTATTTGCTATGGGCAGCCAGTCTTTCAAATTGTCATGGTTCTTTAACTAGAAGCCACATGACATCCAGTCTCTTGCCCTATGTTCCAGTTCCTTCTTCATTCTCACCACCCTATTAATACATATATACTCTTCATGTTTTTAAAATGAACCATAATTTAGTATCACCATCTCTCAATCATCATTCCTGTGTCACTCCTGTAGATCCTCCAAAATAGACCAAGCTAGTCCCTCTGCCCCAATCAAGTCTCTCAGCTTCCTCACTTAAGGTAAGCCTGGACATAAAGCATTCAATATAATTGTATTGATATAATTTGTGCATCATTCATGAATGAATTCATTTTTTTGAGTTACATTTTGGAGCCAAAGAAAATTCAATTGCTATGATTCTCAAAAATTACTTGGTACTTAAAGCTTTATTAAATTATTTTGACTGAGTACAAAATTACACTGTGGGCTTTGGAGGATTATACCAAAGAATAATAAAAATAAAGCTGCTTGCATTTCTTCCATTCAAATGAGGAGGAAGGAAACAATTAACTTACCTGACCAGGCTTAGAATTTTCACAGACAACAATGTCATATTCCCTGGCAAGTTCAGGTGGATTGTCATTGACATCCAGAACTCTAATACCGACTGTGACATGGCTCAGCAAATCAGGATTATCTGCAAAATACACAGGAATGTATTTAGTGTTTCCATGCACAATTTAGAGGCTAGGTTTAAAAAAAATCCCTTTAATACTGTAGCCTGTCACTAGTTTCATATGCTGTACCAGGACTTTTAGCAAAAGACAACTTTATGAAGGCGCTCTTTGCTAGAACTCATTAACTTACAGAAAAATGAAAAATGAACACCAAGGCATGACATGACTGCCAAAATGATGTTTTGTAATATCAAGGAAATTACACGTTATCAGGAACTTGAGTGGGAGAAAGTTGTCAGAATTCATTGTATGCTGTCAGGGTCTACAGGATGAACAATTGGTTTCATCATTAATCTAAGAAAAACACAGCAGTTGGTAAAAAATAACTACATAATCTTTAAAAATTTTAATGTTCAAATCTAAATACACTCAGAGAAAACAAAAAATAAATTTCTTTACACAAAGAATCATTTTCTGATGACAGAATATATGCAGTGTGAGGTCGTAAGTCACACTTGGGGGAAAAATGAAGAATAACTGAAATCAAAATTTAGCATGAGATTCACACATGCAATTTACATGCAACTCTGGTAGACAGCAAAATATATTCAATAGTTTCAAATATATCTTAAACTATGTCTTTTCATTTTTTCAGTGGCTTTATTAATTCTGAGATGTAACAAGAATGTAAATGTCTGGTTTATTTTACAAGTCAAATCTAGAGATTCAGAATACATAATGAGTAAATTAAATCACTCTTTCTGGATTTCTCTCTGCTAATATACCTGTCATTCTCTGAAACAATTCGAAATTTAAATTATAACAACATAGTAATACATTAATAATAAGACTAGTAAAAAAGACACAACCATACTAGGAAAAAGGGAATAAATATAGAGAAGTTATTCACAATAGTAAGAAAATAGATGGGTTAAAAAGCATAAGAAGAAGCTCTAAAATAAATAGAAAATCTAAGTAGCACTTTGTTAAAATAACTAGAAAAAATAAATTCTTCAGTCAAAAATTAATTTTTGCAAAGAGAGAAAAAAGTCATTCTAGATGTTTTTACTTAAAGAAACAGGTAATTACAGTCTACACATTTTCCCCCTAGAAAATATAAGAAAGAGGAAATATTTCACAACTTTTATATATTTATCTCTTTAGCTTGTAAAACTTTGAAACCAATACTAGACACTGTCACTCAGGAGACATATTAGGTGTCAACTGTCTAAACAAAATAATATAAATACACTCCACTGAATTGTTAAAATCATTCTTTATCAATTTTGTTCCAGGGATGTTTGTTTAGTTCAAACAATAAAAGAAGGAAACAAGCAAAAAACAAACAAGAAAGGCAGAGGTGAAGAATGGAGGTAAATTTTCATAAAGATGAAAGTTATTCACAAATTAGTGAATTAAAGAAAAGAAAGAAAGCATATATATACTCACTCAAGAACATACTAAGAAATGCAAAAAATAAAATACAATATGTGTATATTCTAAAAAGCAGCCAATAAAACATAACAAATGACAATAAAAATTATATAACACATTATTCTTAATGGTGAAAATCTAAGAAGAATTAATTAACATAAGCTAAAGGGACCTGTGAGTAAATTTAACAAAGTACATAAAATACCTGTATAAAGCATACTTTACTGAATTTCATTTAAAAACATGTAAGGAAATTAAGAGCCCCTATGTCTGTGGTTAAAGAGACAAAATATCACAAATAAGGCCAGGCCATCCAGGTTGATGGTATTTTCAATGTAATCTAACATAAATCCAATGAGAGTTGTTCATAGCAACTGAAAACTGCGTCTATGATTTACAATCACTAAGATAATTCAGACTTGTATGAAGAAGAGGAATAAAGCAGAGTTATGGGTCAGGCGCAGTGGCTCATGACTGTAATCCCAGCACTTTGGAAGGCTGAGGCAGGAGGATCATCTGAGGTCAGGTATTCCACACCAGCCTGGCCAGTGTGGCAAAACCATGTCTCTACTAAAAATACAAAAATTAGCCAGGTGTGGTTGTGCACACCTGTAATCCCAGTTACTGGGGAGGCAAAGGCAGGAGAATCACTTGAACCTGGAGGCAGAGGTTGCAGTGAGCCAAGATCCTGCCACTGCACTGCAGCCTGGGTGACACAGCAATACTCCTTCCCCCCCACAAAAAAAAAAAAAAAAAAAAAACAGAAAAGCAGAATTGCTCTACAATTTATCAAAGCTTACTAAACTTAACACTCTATGACTGTGTCACAGGGATAGACAAACAGAACGGAAACACAAAACAGAACCCAGCAAAGGATCCACTATACAAAGAAATTTAACATATGGTGATGATGGTATTGTCGATCAATGTTGAAAGTGTGGATTAATCAATAAATAGTACAACTTGTTATTCATATAACAATAATAGTAGTAGTAAGCATAAGTATAATGACATTGACCTTATGCTACACTTATACAAAAATATATTTAAAATAACTAAATACATAAATATGTAAGGCAAAATTATACATATTTTGGGGAAAAAAGCTAGCATTAATATGTGTACTTAAGTTATATGGACAATTTCAAAACACAAAATTCACTAAAACATGAAAGAAGCATTGATACATTTGATTGCACTAAAGTATGATTTCTTAGTTTCTCCAAATATATCATGAAGAAGAAAAAATTGCAATATGAATGAATACATTTGTGGCACTTGTGTCTATAATACAAAATATACTGAAACAATTCTAAAAGCCAACCAAATATAAAAATGGGAAAATGTTAATGGCAAACATTTAATAGAAGAGAGAACATAAGTAGCAAATAAACATGAAAATATTCAGTCTCATTAGTATGGAAAAATGTGTGTTAATCAAAATAAGTTAACATTTAACTGATACAATATTACAAAGTTTGACAAGATTTCTCCTGGTATGGGATTGAATATAGTCAAAGAAAAAATCCATCAATTAAAGTAACCCATAAAGAATAACTTGTATATTCTCATGCCCTTGATCCAGTAATTTTCCTGATTTATATTTATAGAAAAACTCTAGAATACATATAATATCAGTCCGATTAATGGCAACAACAAAAATAGGAAAATAAAAATATTCAACAACTCCTGAATAGATACAAAGCTTTGACACCTTTACATCATACAGAAAATAAATAAATAAATAACAACATAGCCTCTATGTAAAGCAATCTTAGAAACTTATGGTTGTTCTTAGAAATGTTTCAAAAGACTTCAGTCAGGTATTGTGACATTGTAAAAACAGAAAACAAACAACATGTAAAACTAAATAACATATTGTAAAATTAATAAGGTAATGTTTAAGATAATTCTTTTGTAACATTAATTCTTCAGTACAGAGATGTGTTGAAATCTGTTTATTATTGCATTTTACAACCTCTTTGTAGATATTAAATATTACATTAAATATACATTAAAAAGTTAAAAGACATCTTGAAAGTAATACATTCTATTATACCTTCATATACAATCATAATATTAGCATAGTTAATATTCGATGATTTATAGCAAAAGATAATGTGCTGCTTGTATATTATATGAATTATATATTACATTGATAAATGAAAATAAACATTAAATGAAATTACTTGCTTTAAATATATGTTTACTTATGAAAATGTTTAAACTTCTTTTAGAAACTAATACTATTACTTTATCTTTTTATTACACTATTTTGAAACTAGCAGATAATTAGACAAAATGCTTACTTTATAAATTATAAGAAATTGAAATTGACATAGTTTAAATGACTTACCTTGGCAAAGTAGGTTTATATTCTACTTCTTTTGCCTATTACCACTATATATATATATATATATACACACATATGTATATATATACCACTATATATATATATATATATATATATATATATATACACACACACA